TCGAGATCTATCGACACCCGGCCTGGGGATAATGTTGGCCGAGACCTCAATGGGCATGGGGAGTTTTCGAAGAATGCAGCCGGGCCGGTTAAGTCTATCAGGCTAGTCTAAAAGCTGGTCTGCGCCTGCATCATGAAGCTAGTCAGCTGTCTCATCCCGCTTTCTTTACTATTAATGTATCTTGTACTATGTTGGGATTTTCCCTCCTATATAAGTGGAATCCTTGGCACTTTGTAAACCCTGTTGCTCCGACTATTCTACATGAGATAAATAATAACTCTCTCTCTCTCATTTCTCTCTAACGTATTCTCCCGGCACTATTGTTCATATTTATTGCCTTCATACTTGTTCTTCATTTATAGTTTGTCATTGGCCATAAAGAGCCTCACTTAATCATATCCTAACTGTTAGCCCCTTCCCGATTATCCCTGATAGCTCGAGTCCGAGCCCAGGCATCGACCTTGAGGACCTTTATCGGTCGGTTCGAGGCCCGAATAGCAAACCCCCCCNAGCAGAGTGTACTTAATTCTCTTAATTTTATTATGGATAATTCAATTAGGAAGTCTTGATAGTCTTCGGAAGAAGCTAATATAGAATTGATATTCGAGGCTAATTAACATAAACTCGCACATATTTGTAAAATCGTAAATTGGACTTGAATGGCATTCCTCTTGTATCCACGCTTGTAGCCATTGTTCATTTTACTTGCTTTCTAGGTTAGTTTATATTTCCGCATTAGTTATAAACTTATCTCAAAAACCCTATTAGTGTTTTGCTTAGCATAAAAAACGATAATTCTCTTACTTCCCTTATCACCTACATTTTGTTCCTTTTGGGATTCGATCCCAACTCATAGTTGGGTAAATTATATTCCATATGACGGTATACACTTACTCTTTGAGGAGTGGATTTGGACGTTATCAAGAAAGAAGAAGAAGAAGAAGAAAAAAGAATCAGGAAAGAAGAGAGCAGCAAGAAAGGAAAATATTGGATACCATAACTGCCTTAGCTCCTAGTTGGAGTTGTTATTTATTCTCAGCTCTTCTAATCATAGCCGTTGATCTCTAACTAATTTTGATATTGCACCTCATCTGATCTTTATGATTAAGATCTCCCACGTGCCTTCACTTTCTTTTATCTCGTTGTGCAACGTGTCTTATCTTATCAACTAAACTAATACCCTTCTATCCAAACCCTAGTGTCACTTTCCTAATTCATTTCATTTCCTTTCTTCCTCTTTCCTTAACGCTGCAGCTGAATTTCCTAATCCTGACACGGATTATGCTACTTCAGTCACATACATTTGAGTTGTGTATGCCAAAAAAAAAAAAAAAAAAATCAAACTTAGAGTACAATTTAAACCATTGCCCCAAAATCAGGTATTTGTGCATTCTCCCGTCTATATATTTTACCAAAAGCAAATGTGTCTTTGCTTTTTCATGAAAGTACAATCACATAGATATTCTAATATGTGATGTTGGTAATATGGGAGATCTAGTGACAGAAATTTAGAAAGATCTTTTAGGTGTTAATTATTGCATACAGGGCCGTTCCTAATAGAGAATTGAATAGAGGACAATCTTAAACTTAGGCCTTAGCTAACCATCAGAATTTAGTAGAAATTCAAAACTATGCAAATAAATCAAAACTCTTGAAGGCCGTGATATCTCGTTGCTGAGTGTAATTCAATTTCACAACCTCCAATTTAAAAGTAGACCATAACTATCCAGATCAACTGGGTCTTATTTATACTACAACACGGTAAATACGTCATACAATTACATTTTGTTTTCAAGGGATAACTCATAGGTAACTGAGACAAATTATGCAAGTATCTATTCATTAAAACGACCACAATGCCTATGGTCTTTTCCCCGTGCTCTTTTTCATCTTGCAACAGTTGAAATGCACAACTGCGCATAGAGAAAAGGCAACAACAACAACAATGCAGTGTAATCCCACAAGAGAAAAGGCAAAAACACAAAAAGAAAAAGAAAGAGAATGAGAAAACTAGGAAATCTTGATATGGTAGGTGGAGGATAATTTTGAAAAGAACCACTCCCAGCAGTCGTAAACTTAAGGTAACGTCAATACGAGATTAACCAAGAAACTGAAACTGAGTCGTCTATTGCGTAAGTACAAATATATGACACACATAAAAAGGACAGATTATTTCCTTGAAACTGCTGACATCTTATTGTAGCCGTTTGCTAGGGTACAAAGATATGACACACAAATAGGATAGAGTTCACCCTTCTTTGAACTTCTTGTAGCCTGATTTGGAGAAGTGTTGCTTTCGGATGAAAAGTTACTGCCCACCCTCTTCCATCTTCTTTTTCATCTTGAATTGCAATGTGGCAGGAGCACAATCCAGTGGTGTTTCACCTTATTGAAAATCAACAGCAATAGATAGAAATGAATCATCAGAATGACAAACAGATTCACCAAAAGATTTTTACTGTTAAGAACCAGAACATTTGCATTCCCCAAGTCCCGAACCTGTGCGCCAACTGGGGTTGGACCAGCTAACTCACAGGAGATTTCTCGAATATATATATATATATAAAATATTTGCATAGCACACAATAAACAGCATGACAAAGTATACTCTTTTAACAGGAGCAGATCAAATATTGGTTTAAATGATGCTCTTTCAAAATATAGAAACAACTACCTCAACCTCCTTTCCACTAATCACATTCAAGATGCTATCTTGCAGCTCGAACTAGACTAAAAGAGTTCTATGCTTTAGATATCTTTTTACCTTGTGAATTTTTGCAGTACAAACTAGCTCCACTCTCCATGAGGGCAAATGCTATTTCAGTTCGATTGAATACAGCCGCCTACATTAGCCAATGTCAATTATAATTGTCACACTCTAAAATAGAGATATTATATGCTAATTGTACAATCATGTAGTTGAGTATAAGATAAGAGAACCAGATGTAACAATGATGATCCTCGCTTGTCAAGGTAATTTGCATCAACTCCCTGATAAAATTGAGATAAAAAAGTAAGCCTGAAAAATGCTATATTGAAATACAAGAGAAAGAAAGTAAACTACCCTATCTTATCCCAAAAGAGAGAGAGAGAGAAAGAAAGTAAACATTACCTGATTTAGGAGCTTCTTTGCCGCACTCACATCACCATTTTTTATTGCTTCTCTTAAACCCTACACAAAATTGGCCCCCACAACCTATCATTTAGGGAAAATGAAGGAGAAAATCTTGACTTTTTCAAGCACACAATCTAGCAATGTTTAAGTGCATCTACGACACTATGCTCCCAATAAGCTTCGCTACTATTTAGGACCTACTTTGTCATTTTTTTCCTATGTTTTTACAGTTACCTTGTGTTCCATGTAACTAAACGGTTGATAAATCATTTGGCTTCAAACATCTATGAAATGACTAGGTGTCAAATTTTGTGCTTCCCTGCTTCTTAACCTACGCCTTCCTACAATACTTCAATTTCTGCAGAACCAGCCTACTTAACCTAATCTGAAGATGTAGTCCTTGTGAGAAATTCAAGGTCACCACTGGGAAACCAAGGTAAAAAACAATACCTCCCCACTGACTTCATAATCCGCTGACATTGTCTCCATACTGCAGTTGGTAGCTGGACCAGTATTGAAAGTTGTACTGCAAAAAAAATTTGCTTAGTTAGTTCTGTTATTAAATTCGTAGGCCTAAGCAGGTAAAATATGGGAGAGCACCAAAGATTATGGATTTTGAAAAAACTTCTTATAAACTAACGTAAGTTGAAAGAATAAGAAAGTGAAAGTGGAAAAATTTAAAGGTGAAATGTCATGACCCGCCACATCATCATGCCACGTAGGTGCCACTTGACATATATTTTTGCCATATGGAATGGTTACATAAGTTAGGGACTAGATCTTTGTGGAATATTCTAGAACTATGGAGAATTTCCTTAGAAAAGTTCTAGACATTTATGCATTTGTAGGAAGGTTCTAGAGAAATATAGAGGTTTCCTTAGGAAGACCCTAGAACCCTATAGAATTGTTAGGAAAGTCCTTAGAAGAATCTAGCTATATAGAATATTCTAGAGAAGGGATTTAGTTGTGAATATAGAAGGACTTGTAGAACAATTATTATTTACATACTAGCCCCTAGGTGATTAGTATAAATAGGGGGCATTCATTTGTAATTCATGAACCAAGCAAACAATTCAAGTTCTCTCTAATACAAAGCTTCCTTTAACAATTCTCTTGTGTTCTTTCTTCCATTCTCTTAGCGATCTTGAGTGTAGTAAGGCTGACTTGACATAGCAAGAACGTGAGCAAGTTGTGCAAGACCGTGAGCGAGTTGTCAGGTGCCGCACGTGTACTTAGTTAACAACTAAGGATGTGACAACGTGGTATCAGAGCAAAGGTTATGACTAAGGAATGTTAGAAAGAATATAGGAGATTTTTAGAAGGAAATTTTGTCGGGAACCATGGCCGGAATTACCAAGGGCTTGGTACTTGCAGAAGGGATTAACGCGAAGGTCCCTAAGCGAAAGCAGTATGGTGGTGCACGGGCTGCACGCGAGGTGGCAGACTGGCGGAAGCTAAGGGAGCTCCGATAGAGGCCACAATTCGGAAATATGTACGCGAGTTCACTACCTTAATGTTGCAAATCTCGTCATTGTCCGAGGAAGATTTCCTCTTCTACTTCATGGATGAGTTGCAAAATTGGGCAAAGCATAAGTTAAGAAACACCAAATAGCCAACGTGAACGGGACCATCAGAGTAGCCTAGTCACTTGTTGACTTCAAAATGGAGCCTGCCAAGTCCAAAGAAGGCAATGCCGAGAGGGATGAGGGAGATCATGATGAGGACAACGGGAAATGCATAGCCGAGGTATACAAGGGTAATGGCAAGGGGCCATCCATAACGGACAGGGGTCCAAGAGAAACGGCAGGGGGCCGAAAAAATGGTAGGGAGTACGTGCCTAAGGGAGGGTGCTACTTCTGTGAAGGATCACATCGGGCAAGTGAATGCTCAGAGTTGGGGAAGCTTGCAACAATGATAGGGAACTTTGNAGTTGCAAAATTGGGCAAAGCATAAGTTAAGAAACACCAAATAGCCAACGTGAACGGGACCATCAGAGTAGCCTAGTCACTTGTTGACTTCAAAATGGAGCCTGCCAAGTCCAAAGAAGGCAATGCCGAGAGGGATGAGGGAGATCATGATGAGGACAACGGGAAATGCATAGCCGAGGTATACAAGGGTAATGGCAAGGGGCCATCCATAACGGACAGGGGTCCAAGAGAAACGGCAGGGGGCCGAAAAAATGGTAGGGAGTACGTGCCTAAGGGAGGGTGCTACTTCTGTGAAGGATCACATCGGGCA